GATACAGGGGATAATAAATTAGAATATCCTCTGTTAATTGCTTATTTGTGTTATCTCAGAGAATACAATAGTCTCAGAATAGCAATACTAATATTACTGTTACCAGTGTGATTACTGAGAGTGGTTACATAAATTGTTTTGCATATACTGTCTCCATTCCCTCTCATTTTGTAACTTTATTGTATATTGTCAGATTATGTCATCATTACATACTATGCTCTTTTTTAACCTTCATTTTTAGTTCTGCGAATAATTACATAGTTTCAGGGGTTGGCATGCTTTTTCTATAAAAGGCTAAATAGCAGATATTTTAGGCTTTGTGACCCACGAGGCAAAATCAAGACTATTATGTAGTTACTTATAGAACAAGAATGAAAACAAATTTCCACAAATTTTTATCGACAGAGTTCAAAATACAATAATAATTTAGTATAATTTTTTATTTGTAATACAGATCTAATGAGAAGAATGGAATTTTTTTGAGGGATAACATTTCACCTAATTGGGGTTCAGAGTTTGTTTCTTTATCAAAATTCATCTGTTATGCTGATCTCTAATGAAATTTTGTGTATTTCATCATTGAAAAATCTTTTCACACAGATTAGTACTGCCATGTACACATCAGTTCATGAGCGTATGTCTTTAATTGGGAATAGTCATCGCTTAGAATAGTATTCATTATAGAATTCTATTACATTCTTCTCTTGATATTTGCATTTTAGTATGTCATAGTGCAGATTAATCATTTCCAATTGAAGGTAGATGCTCCTCAATTGCACAGTTGAATGGATTTTAAAAATGTGTAAATTTCCTTTGTACATGGCTCAAGGTCCAAAAACGCTGCTGAAATTGTAGTTAGAGTTCAGAAAATGATCTGCTGCAAATTTGTGTGGGAATGGAGATCTTCCCTGTTTGTGTGTGTGTGTGTGTGTGTGTGTGTGTGTGGTAAAATATAACAAAACATGTCATTTCAACATTCTTTGCATGTACAATTTAGTAACATTAATTATGTTCATCATATTGTGCAACCATCACCACTATCTATTTCCAGAATTTTCAGTCATTCTTAACAGAATCTCAGTGCCTCGTAAACAATGACTCCCCTTTTTCCTCTCCCTCCTGCCCCTGGTAACCATTAATAAGCTTTGGAGACCTCTTTTTATTTTAACTTTTGACAGCACAGGAAGTGTATAAAGCAGTTTGGAATTACTTATGATTCAAACAGTATTAAAAAACCAAACCAGTTGCAGTTGAGTTGATTTTAACTCATGATGACCCATGTATTTCAGAGTAGAACTGCACTCCATAGGGTTTTCAATGGTTGTGATCTTTCGGAAGTAGATCACCAGGACTTTCTTCCAAGGTGACACTTGGTGGATTCGAACTGCCAGCCTTTTGGTTGGTTAGTAGCTGAGCACTTAACCATTTCGCCACCCAGGGGCTCTCAAACAGCATTAATTGTCATCAAAATGACTTTATTGCAGTATATGTTTCATATCTAAGCACTGTTTTGCCTTGTGATTTTTTTTTAAATTCATTAAGAAACATAAGTTTGCAGCAAAAGCTAATTCCCAAAGCCATTCAGTGTTAGATAATAGTGGTTGAGGGTGATTCTTCTTAAGAAAAACTTCAGTCTTGGCCCTGAGCTCGAGCTCAGAAACTTGCAGTAGAACATTACCACTGCCAAACCATTGAACTGTCGTGTGGTAGGGCAGGTCAGGATATTCAACTTCTATTTTGAGCCAGTGATAGTTAAATCAACGCAAGCAAGTGAAGTTAATCTTTTGGCACTATTGGGTCAATAACAATGAGCCCTAGTGGCGCAATGTTTAAAGCACTTGGCTGCTAACCGAAAGGTTGCCTGTTTGAACCCACCAGCCAGTCTGTGGGAGAAAGATGTGGCAGTCTGCTTCTATCAAGATTTACAGCCTTGGAAACCCTGTGGGTCGGTTCTACTCTGTCCTGTAGGGTCACTATGAGTCAAAATTGACTTGATGGCAATGGGTGGGTTTTGGTGGGTCAGTAACACATAGATTCAGATATTTTCCTTAAAGTACCTGCTGATGAATAATACAGTGACCAACCACAGGCTTTAAACACCTTACATTTAACATTTTATATTTTTACAAGTTTTGTTAATTTCTCCAACTAAGTTTTTTGTTCCATACATAATTTTACCACTATCAGTTGTAAAGTCTTTTTTTTTTTTAAAAAAAAGCAGATTCTACTTCAGGTTGTACTAAATCAGTGTTTTCTGAATTTTGAAAATATTCTTGCCTGTAATTGTTCCACACAGACTATTTATAGAGGCTTACTCTTCAGTCACTTCAAAACTCTGCATTGACTGCTCAAATAAACAAGAAGTGAGCAGTATCAGTAACATCTGTTCACTCATCTAGAGCCAAGGAAAACCACTCGAAATCATTTGCCTTGTTTTTTAATTGACTATTGATCATTGCTCCCAGTACCCTCAACTCTCTCTGAGCAACTCTTCTCACCCAAAACTAATAGTTTTAAATAAGTTTATATTCTCTGGATGTCATTTGTTTGACTGCTGTAATCAAACTCAATTCAATTAACTCACCATCAGTAAATAGCATTCCTTGCTTGACTAACAAATGGACCACTCAGAAAGCTAGTTTGGTTGCAGTCTCGTTTTCATTTTTTATTTAATGAAGAAATTCTGTTGTGATGAGATACTTCATTTTAAATTTTCTAATTTTTCTGACCATTGCTTACCTGTGAATTGAGAACTATTGTGATGAGAGTGCATGCAGTTTGGTAATGTCTATGTATATTGTAATGTCTATGTATATTGTATTTTAGCAGAGTTAATAGTGTTATTACATAATAAAAGGAATGCTTTACCATCTAATTTGATGACAGAATAAGCCACGTTTCACTGTACCTTAAAAGTGTGACATTTGAAGACCACTTTTTTTTTTTTTTTTTGACATGATGGGCATGCACTGATAATAAAAATGTTGCAATAAGGCGATTTGTATGGCACTCAAAATGCTGTTCAGTGTAGCTACATCACTGCAGTTTGTAGTGCGTCAAACAGCAATGTGAAGCCGTAAGAGCACCACACAGGGTCTCTGTTGCAGCAGCTCACCACTGCTATTGTACTGTGGAAACAGCCATAGACAATTCATAAACGAACGATTATGGCTGTATTCCTATAGAACTCTTATTACGAACATTTAAATTTGAATTTCACATAATCCGCATGTGTCACAAATACAGTTCTTTTTTATATTTAACCATATATATATATATATATATATATATATATACCCTTCCCAAGGGGCCCTGGTGGTGCATGGTTAAGCGCTCTGCTGCTAACCAAAAGGTCAGTTCAGATCCAGAATCCACCAGCTGCTCTGCGGCAGAAAGATGTGGCAGTCTGCTTCTGTAATGATTCAAACCAAAACCAAACCCATTGCCATCGAGTCGATTTCGACTCATAGTGACTCTGTAGGTCAGAGTAGAATTGCCCCATAGGATTTCCAAGGAGTGGCTGGTGGATTCAAACTGCTGACCAAGCTCTTACCCACTGTGCCACCAGGGCACCTCTGTAAAGATCACAGCCTTGGAAACCCTGTGGGGCATTTCTACTCTGTCCTATAGGGTTGCCATGAGTCGGAATTGACTCAGTGGTGGTGGGTTGGGTTTTAAACTTAAATCTGAGTATAGATATTGTTCATCAGTTTTGGGAAGTTCTTGGCCATTATCTCTTTTTTTGCTTGCCTCATTCTTTCTCCTTTCCATTTGCATACATATTAAACCTTTTGACTATGCCGCATCTCTCTCTCATGCTGTTTTCTATTCTTTTTTTAAAAAATTTTCTATGCTTCGGTTTCTGTTGACCTGAATTTGAGTTCATTAATCCTGTTTTATGCCTTTTCCAGTGTGCAGTTAAATCTATCCAATGAATTCTTAATTCCAAATACTGTATTTCAGGTTTGGGGTTTTAAAATAGATGTACAATTATCTGTTCAAATGCATTTTTAAAATTCATTTTGTTCATCTTTTCCTCTATTTTCTTCAGTGATACTAATAGTCATTTTAAAGTTCTTGTCTGCTAACTCCAACATATGGTTGTCTGTGGATTTGTTTTTATATATTTTTTTTTTCTTGATTATTGGTCATTGTTCTGCCTCTTTGCATACTAGTTTTTTTGTTTTTTTTTTAACATATGCCGACACTGTATATAAAAGAACCATAGAGGCTCATGATACCTTCCTATGTTAGGTTAATAGGATGTGGGGCTGTTCACCTTAAACTCGCCAAGGATATATTTAGATTGGTGCTGGGTTGCAGTTTTAGTAAGACTCAGTCTGCCTCTGGTTGTCCTTGTTCTTCTGGTGTGCCTCTCCTGGGGTTTTGAGTGAGAGAGGCAGGTCTCTGTCTCTTCAGCTTTGAAAGACTGCAGGAGAATGAATTCTGTCCTTGAAAGGTTTTTGAATTTAGCTTCTCACACCATGCAACTGTAAAATCTGAAGGGAGATTATGTTTTTGTGTCAATGCCCTAGAGCTAGCAGATTTCTCTTGGGGAAAATTGGCCAAGTGTTGAAGCACTTTTGGTTTCTAGTCTTTCATTCCAGCCCTTTGTGACTAGCAAATCCTGTGTGGGTTTCTCTTTCCCTTAGTAGAGTCCCTCTGCCTGTGCCCAGTCTCATTTTGCAGCCTACACTCAAAATTGGCAGTTCCCCCCCATAAATGAAAATGGCCATCAGTTTCTGGCTCACCAAAGGAAGGTTCTTTTCTTTCTGAAATTGTAGTTCAGATAGTTCTCGTTATTTTCATAGGTCTCCAAGGTCTTTAAATTGATTTTTGCAATTGTTTTGTCCCCTTTCCTCTTCCCCCTAGTTATTGCAGTGGGAGCATTGGTCTGCTGTGACCTACTATATCCTACTTGGAAGTAAAACTTCCTTCTACTTAACATATGAGTGGGTGACCAAAAATTTGGTGAAGTTCTGAATACATGGATGTGGATTGACAACTTAGAACTTCTTAGGGATTTGTGTGTCATCTTTTGCATGGGCCATGCTAATTTTCTCAGTATCCTTCCACTTTTAATGTATGTGCTGCTGAAGCTAACTTTTGACTTCTTTCTAGGGTGATCTGGCTGGCCTTTTGCTAATGGAACCCCAGTGTCACTATCTTTAGGCCTTTCTCTTAGACTTGCGAGTTTCTCCAGTGAAGACTCCTAGTTTTCTTCCTGGAGGGTAGGGGACTACCTGCTAGCATTCTGAGAGCCACCTAGGGAAAGAGGTCTAAAGATGTCAAAATTTAGAGTGTTAACTTTTACTTAATACTCCCTGTATGTGGCATGGCTTTCCTGCCCTTATCTGAGCCTGATGTTCCCCAACTCTCAGAGACTTACCTTCTCCAGAGAGTAAAGCTTCAGTCTTCTGGCTTGGGCACCAGCCGCATAAAGTCAAGGAGGAGATAGATCTGAGGATCTAATTGTAAAGAAACTTTTAACCAGTTTTCCTCCCCTTAGCTTTCCTTTAGCTCCTCTCTGGAGCTACCTGATGCCTTCAGGTCCCAAGTTTTGGGAGGATTGTATGTGTAAGTTATGTTGGTTCTCTGCTTTTAGGATTTGACTTTCTCAGTACCAGTTAAGGATTTGACTTTCTCAGGTCAGTTCCAGTAATGTCTCTTTCTCATCTGCTTTCCACTTTCTAAAATTTAATTGCTGGGTTTTTTTTCCTCATTATCTTTGTCCTTGTGGGTCCTTTGTCCCTGTGTCCTTGTCCTTAAAAAAAATCCTCTATATTGTAACTTTTAATGAAGTTTTGAGAGTGGGCAAAAAATAAATGTGTGTTCAGTCTGGCATATTAAAAAAGGATAATATAGTATAAAACTTTTAAGGTATAAAAAACTACATAGAGCAAAAAGTTAGTTTTTTAAATGATTTATTTATGTTTTTGAGAATATATACAGCAAAACATACTCCAGTTCAACAGCTGCTACATGTACAGTTCAGTGACATTGATTACATTCTTTGAATTGTGCAGCCATTCTCTTCTTTTCTGAGGTGTTCCTCCCCCATTAAAATAAACTCATTACCTGCAAAAAGTTAGTTTTAATAATTTATTTTTTCTCTACTTATTTGAAATGTTACCTTTGTCGTAATCCAAATTCCTCCGTTTATTTTGGTCTATTTCTGTAGTTTGTTCCATTAAACTGTCTACTTAGTTTTATTTGTTTTGGCTTATACTATACATTAATATCTGTTAGGCTATTTTCCCCTCAATGCTTTTGTTTTCCCCCAAGAAATTTCCCGGATATTCTTCCTTGGTTATTTTTTGTATGAAACTTTGAATCAACTTAGCTTGTCACTCCTCCCTCCCAGATCTTTTTGGTATTTTCTTGTCATTACATCAAATTTACAAATTAATTTGGAGTTGACATCTTGACAGTGTTGTCTTTTTATGGCTTTACATTTATTCAGAACTTTTTTGTCACTTCCAGACATTTTATTTATTTATTTATTTTGGTTAATTTTATTTTTTGATAGTACATTCATATGATTCAGAAATGAAAATATACATTATTAGGCAGTTTAACTCGATGTCCCATGAAATATGATCCCTAAACCTCCAAATCAAGAACCAGATCCCACGAGATATTTGCTTGTACATAAGCAGCTACTTTTTTTTTTTTGTCATTATAGCAAATATATGTATCACACAACTTTTGCCAATTCAACTTTTTACAGGTGTACAATTGGCTGTGCAACCCTACCCTTAATCAGTGTGATTTTTCCACCACTGTTAATACTAATCCCCCTTTCCCCCGCCCCTCCCACCCCTGGTAACCACTTATCAACTCTATACATTTGCCTTTTCTTCTTTTTATATATAAAGTGAGCTCATACAGTATTTTCCTTTTATGATTGGCTTATTTCACTCCGCATAATGTTTTCAAGCTCCATCCATACTATAACATGTATCAAGACTTCATTTCTCCTACTGGCTAAGTAGTATTCCATTGTATGTATGGACCACATTTTGTGTATCCATTCATCTGTTAATGGGCATTTAGGTTGTTTCTACCTTTTGACTATTGTGAATAGTGCTGCAGTGAACATTGGTATATGTGTCTCTTTGAGTCTGCTTTCAAGTCTTTTGGGTATATACTTAAGAGTGGAATTGCTGGATCATATGCTGTTTCTGTTAGTGCTTCTGTTCTACCTCCTAGTTTGTTACGTAGTGCCTGAGGTCTTAAAAGCTTGCCAAATGGCCATCCAGGGCACAGCCAATTGGTCTCTATTCCCCTGGAACAACAGAGGAAGAAGGAGAATCAGGAATAGGGGAGGAGGATATGGAATGTGTGGTTAATGCCTCAATGAACAACTACCTCCTTTACCATGAGACCAGAAGAACTGGATGGTGCCTGGCTACCATTACTGAACATTTTGATCAAAGATTCCGTAGAAGAATTCTATCAGAGGTGTAAAATGCAGAACAGAATTTCAAATTCTCATGGACTCTAGACTTTCTGGAGCCATGGAGGTTGGATGAATCCCTGAAACTATTGCCCTGAGATAATCTTTAAACCTTAAACCAGAAATATCCCTGAAATCTTCTTAAAACCAAACGGTAGTTTAGCTTAACTAGTAAAACTGGTCTACCTCGAGCACCATGCTCTTTTAAGAACTATCTGTATGGAATCAAATTGACAACAGCAACTCAAAAAATTAGATAGGAACCTTAGGGGCAGTGAGTTTATGTTAATGAGGGAGGAACAGCTCAGAAAAGGAGGGTGAGAGTGGTTGCACAGTTCGAAGAATATAATGAATGTCACTAAATTGTACATGTAGAAATTGCTGAATTGGTGTATGTCTTGATATGAATATTCTCAACAACACAACAAAGTTTAGAAAAACGAAAAAAAGATCGGGGAAAAAAAAAAAGAAGAAGCAATTGGAATGTGTGCAGCAAGCCCCAGCAGCAGCCCAGGGGAGCAGAGAGAACCACAAGCTTAGACTTTTGTCTCCTGCATTCACTCATTGTGAGACCTCAAACAAGTCACGCACCTTGCCGGGCTCCTGTATCATGGGCTGTGAAATGAGAGGATTATGCCAGGGATATTGAAGGACCCTGCTTCCCCAAAGTGGGCGGCTCCAAGGAAGTGGGAGGATTCCTTTCCTTCAACATTGGAAAAATTTGCACCATATACTGTACTATTGTTTTATAGCCCTCTCTCCATTCCACCTAAGGTCAATTACTTTCTCACTTGTAGTGGATTCAAATTCCAGTCTGTAAACTCAGCTGTGCAAGAATTGTGCCTTTCTTCATTTTTGATACTCCAATTTCTTTTTCTAGATCCTGTTCCTCTAGGTTGGCAACTGAAGGATTCTCTTCTTCCTCCTCCCAGGATGCACCTACATTCTACTACCAGCAGTTGCCGTCAAGTTGGCTCTGATTCATGGCTACCCATGTGTGTCAGAGTAGAACTGCACTCCATAAGGAGTTTTCAATGGCTGATTTTTTGAAAGTAGATCACCAGGCCTTCCTTCCAAGGCACCTCTAGGTAGAGTTGAACCTTTAACCTTTTGGTTAGCAGCCAGGCGTGTTAACCCTTTGCACCACCCAGAGACTGTTTATCTACATTCTGCGGGAATCAGTTGTGGTGCCAAGTCATGAAGGGGGTCAGCAGCGTCCACTGAAATATCCTTGGTGCTGTCTGGGCCTCAGGAGTGGTCCTTGCTGGTTTCCATGGAGACCACGCCCAATCTGCTGAGGATGCAGCATGTGATAGATTGATTAATAATGGCCCCAGTGTTTCTTGCTTCTCAATATTTATGTCCTTTGATGGTGCCCTCCCACACTGACTCCCAGGCGTGGCAGTGTAACCTGCTTTGGCCAGTGGGACGGTAGGAAACTTGATGTATGCAGAAGCTTGCAAAAACCTTTGCTAATCGTAGCTTTGTCTCTTGGAATCCTGCCACTGCCGTGAGAACACACCTGGGCCAGCTGGTTGGAAAGATGTGAGAGTTACAGTGGCAGACTAACTTACCAGGTAGACTTGTCCCAGACAAGACCATCATAGCTGACCCACCAGCTGAGCCTAGTCATCTGCTGACCGTAGCCAAGATCAGCCAAGCCCTGCCCAGAGCAGCAGAACCACTCAGTTGAACAGTAGACTTATACGAAATAACGAATGGTTGTTGTTGTGAGCTAACCAATATATGGCTTTTTCCTGTACCCTTCTAGGGCTCAGGAAATGAGCCCTTCTTCCTAGACCCACATGCATAGGAGAAGTTCTCCTATCAGTTGAAGAGCTTTATAAGCCAAGGTACAGGAGGTCCCATCATACAGTGATGAGCAAGGTCCTCTCAGGATGTTCTGGGGAATGCAAAGAAGTTCCATCTTTGTAGAAAGTAATCTGAAAATGTGTACGGACATCGGTTGCCGTCGAGTGGACTGACTCATGGCGACCCCGCATGTGTCAGAGAAGAGCTGTGTTCCATAGGGTTTTCAGTGACTGATTTTTCAGAAGTACATCTCCAGGCCTTCTTCCAAGGCATCTCTGGCTGGATTCAGACCTTCAACCTTTCAGTTAGCTGCCAAGCACATTAACTGTTTGCACCACCCAGGGACTCCTAATGTATACCAAGGGCCTTTAAATTGTTCACACCCCTTGATTCAGTCAGTGTTCTAAGGAACAATCTGAAATTCAAGAAAAAAATAAATAAATACAAAGGCTGAACTCTCCCTGTTACTGCTTCCCCCATCCTGCTTATTCCTCTTCTTCAACACAGGAAATATTAGCAGTTTTTTGTATGTTTTTCCAGTTTTTCAGGCGTACACATGCAAATGTACATATATTTCACCTTCCCCCCCTTTTTACACAAATGATGTTGTTGTTAGGTGCTGTCAATTTTCGACTCATGGCGAGCCCATATCACAGAGAACTGCTCCATAGGTTTTTTTTTAGTTAACTTTTTTTTTTTTTAATTGTGCTTTAGGTGAAAGTTTACAGAGCAAATTAGTTTCTCATTCAAAAATTTACACAAGAATTGTTTCGTGACTTTAGTTGCAATCCCCGTAGTGTGTCAGCACTCTTCCCCTTTCCACCCAGGCCTTC